ATGATGATATATGGAAAACTATTTGAAGAAATAACATATAATTTTATAGGTGAGGCACTGTAGAAAAAAATGGTTATTACGACAGTTAATATTTCAAGTGTTAAATGGTTTTTGTAGAAAATAATAGACTATTTTTATCACTTTACTTGAACAAAATGCTAAAGTCTTTTAGAAAAGAGCATTAGATTTTGAAGTGAATACAAATTGAAAAACATAGTTGTTTTTTTTCTCAACAATATAAATGCCATAGTTAAAACTAGAAACCAGCCGAATTTAAAATTCTAGTTTTTATCAAATCAGTTTTGTATAAAATTATAAGTAAACTGAACAAGTTGAAAAGATGTAAAATTTGAGTAAATAAAGATATTTATATTCTAAATTATCTTTTTTAGTTTACATGCAAGAGAAACAGCAAATTTCAATAGCAGAGATATACAATTTTCAAAAGACTTTATAACTGTATTATGAAACAAGTGATAACTTCTATTTTTTTTGTAATTTATCTCCTGATAATTTTACAAGATCGCTATTTAAAATGATATTTAGTCGAGCAGAATCTCTTCAACTCTGAAGCGAATAATATTTAATAATACATTTTTCTTTACAATTAGGTATGTATGGGCTACAAGATTGATATATGTATATGCATGTGATTATTAGTCAACAAATAAATTGGTTATAAATTCAACTACTAGATCAAATAAGAATAATCAATACTGCAGGATAATACGATATGGCTTTGAATTCTATCTTAAATTAAAGAAACCTACAAAACATAAAGCGTGTTAACAAAATGGGAAAATGTTAAAGTTTCGAAATATAAAATAATTCAAGCACATTCTTTTAACACTCAAAATTGTTGATTGATAGGAAACAAAAACAATAATTATTTTGTTGAGTAACACCATATCCCATGCACCCTATAATGGATAAATAAAGTAAAAATCACACATTATTGTGCATTATCTTACGAGTACTTTTTTTTCATAAATGATAATGCACTATTTAGAAATAATGTTCGAACACTATATATTGCATTTAAAAAATGCACTTTAATATTCTATTTAGAAATAATGTTTAGACGCTGTATACTTCATTTCTTAATGCATTCTAATGTTTTATTTAAAAATAATGTTCGAGAGTTATTCACTCCAATTTTTTAAAGCATTTTAATGTATTAGTTAGAAACAATATTGAATACTGCATAGCCCATGTAATCATGAAACGCAAAATCGATGCGTTCACACGCATTTTCATAGCAAAACATGTTTAGACGCGGTTAAGAACGGTCTTATAACGCATTGTCAATAAGAAACGCGTTGAGGCGCAGTGTTATGCTTTGTTTTAATAATAAATAAGGACAACGAGTTCAAATGTGTTAAATCATAACTGCCTCTTCTTCTTTATTTATCAAATATATATGTAGAGAGAACAGGGGAGAACACAAAAGAAATAAATGGTGTAGAGGGTGTGGGTGTGGGTGTTATGCTCATCTCTTATCCATACCCACACCCACATCGTCAAGATTGTGAAGTGCGCATAAACGGCCACTTTGATTTTTCAGAAAATTTCTGGCTTAATAAGAAGAAGAAAAAACTAAGAATTCATGAAGTAACTAATCTACGAATCTTTATTTCAAGCCGAACAACGTCTTAAAAATTCGGCTTACAAAAAGATAGAAGTTAAAACTCATTTGAAATAGGAGCAAACACGAAGATCGGTTGTTTCCTAGTAATTTGAATCTGCTGATTTCAGATACACAACATGTTTCTTCTTTACATTGTCAAACTCATACTTAACAAAGTGAAATACTCTCCAAGGCCACACTAAGACCTCTTCTTCATTCGGGAAATCAGAGAGATGAGAAATGTGAGTGACACACCGAACGTTCTGATTTGGATTCCCAATTTTGCACTTTACATTCAAATCAATGATGAGCAGTGTGTTGCCAAACTGCTCTGCTTGCATTCGACTTTTACTAGTCGATGTGAAGGCTGTGAACGTCATCGTTTCCTTCATGAACGCTTTGCGTTCTTCGTCCGTGAGAGTTAGACCACGGTAGGTGGTTAATACATCGGCTGTTGCATTCTTTTCTAGGTATTTGTTAAGAAGATAGCAGAATGGTCCCATGGTTTTAACTTGTTCAGATGTGGCTGTCTCACAATGACGAAGAGTTTGATTAATTAGTCTGTACCAAAAGGACTCGTTCGTGTAGAGATGAACACATGTTTCACCAATCTGTGAAGGGATGTCTGTCCAGATACTCGTTAGTAGTTTATCACCAAAGTGTTTGACGTTGAGGAGTTGATCTGCGAGCCATTGAGCTTCTTTTTCCTTGCCAAGAGTAGCTCCTTCTTCGATAATCCCTCGAGCAGCTTCTTCCACGACATCAGCGACTGTTTTCTCTTTGGGTTCTATATGTAAGTAGGCGTAGGTTTTCGTAAATTGACCATTTCGCAAGTAGAATGCTACCTTGTCGTCGTTTATTACACGTGACGCAGATGGTGTAGGTGCTAGTGTAATTGGAAACAAAAACCTCTCTTGTCTCAGAAGAGTAACGGGCGCTTTAGTTGTTGACGATGTTGAAGCAGTTGCCATTTCTCTTCTTTACATAAATAACATGTTCTACGTTTTTTACTTTCTGTTTTTTCACATCCATAGCAACAAGCTAATGAGATCGACGATAGCAAGAAAAAGAACTGTATGCAGCGCGTTTTATTTTTTTTCTCGTTATTCTGTTGTTTCGTCATAAGTTACTTTAGTAACTACAGAAGAGGAAAGTGAGAAAGAAGAAGAGAAAATGTCAACTATGTACTCTGCAGAGCTTGGCAACCGACTGATTCAAATAGCTCTTCTACTCTTATACGAAAGTTAGAGTTTATTCAAAATGATAATCGCTGCTGGGTGTGGATAACGAGAACAAAAAATCGCTATCCACACTCTCACCCTCGAGATGACAGTTTATTTATCTTTGAGGATGTGTGCGTGGGTGTGGGTATGAGTGTTTAAATACTAACGCTCTCACACCCATACCCGTGCGTCTTTTGGAATGTAATTTAAATCAACTGAATATTTTATTAGTACCCTCAAAATGGTCATGAATGGGTCATATTTGAAACATAAGAAACGTAGTAATCATTGATTTTCTGTCTTGTATTATTGTTTGAAAACACGACCATCTTGAGACTATGAGTAGGTGTGGTTGTTAGTATGGGTATTGTATCATCGATCCTTCTTCATATCCCCACACCCACTTCCTCTAGATGATTGATCTCAAAACAGTGCTGAGATATAATGATTGGAAGTCGAATAACTTTTTACAATATAAACTATTAGTGATTGTATGAGTTTATCCTTAATGAAATTTTAATTTTGCTCAAGTAAAAGTATAGTTTTTAGTATTTTTTGTTGCAAGTTTCGGATAGAGAACAACGAAACATAAAAGATTTATATTACTTTCAACTAGAAAAAAAAACACATTTTTTTTATTATGTTGTAATTTATTGTTGTCTATATGACTCATTGAAACAATGACAAAGATTTCACACACAGATGAAAGTTTGCTATATATATATATAAGATTAAAAGTATGCTGCAATTCATTGCATTTTGTTGATAAAAATTCTATCATGATCAAATTTGAATTCTTACCGAATGAGACGCTTTTGGAATGTTTTGAATATCTTAATGGAATAGATATATATATTATGCATTTAATGGATTAAACAATCGTTTTAATTATTTAATTCGAAATATTTCATTACATTTGTCAGATGCAACACGTAGTGTGGGTGTTGATCCCTTCTTTTCCTACAGTTGCACCTAGTTGTGTGAAACAGAAGAGATAATTTTAAATTTATGAATAGACCTCAGTTAAATCATGTATGAGACGAACAGTTGCTACGATACTTATCCTTATCAGAACTGAGAAACTCCGACTTCGAGCCGACCATAGATTTTACTCTTCCTGTTTACATTCTATGCTTGTCTGAAATAAGTATGCGCCTAAGTTAAAACAGAAAATCTATCGGACATAGAAACATAAATATGCACATGTCTTTTATGACATTTGTTTTGACCTTCTTGCTCAACTATATAATTTTATCAATATATTCGTCTTTTGATCTTAAAAGGTTTTATACGCTCATAGTCTCTTTTTTTCAACTTATTAAATTATATCACTGTTTATAACTGAATCAAAAAAAACTGTTCTCTCTGTATGATACTATTCTATTCTCAAAATTTGAATCACATAACTAATTTTTTATTTTCAAAGTGAATACATTTCATATTACATTTACTGAATTTAACTGGATATAGATCACCAACTGATATTTATTGAACTTTTCCACAAATCATCTTAGCTGCAAAATACTCTTTCATATATGTCAATTTATTATATTATTGTGCACAACTTTTCACAACACGAAGAAAAATGACAGAAACGCACATCGATTATGTAAAGCAGGCTTATATAGTTATAGTTAAAACAATTAGTTTATAAAACATCATTGAAGAACGAATCGTTGCACCCTATTATTATAATAATCAGAAACATATAAATATGTTTCAGTAGGATCAAGTGCCACATCACCTGGGTATGAAAGAAGTGTATTGGTTTTACCCGCAACACCACTTGCACTGCCGGCTACAACTGATCCTTGTGTATCTCCAAGGTTCCATCGCATCACACGGTTATTACCAGTATCAGTAATATAAAGAGTTTGACCATTGCGTGTCACCCAAACAGCTGAAGGATGATCTAATTGGTTAAGACCCAGTCCCTGTCCATTTCCACCTGCAACTGTTATTCCTGTTCCATTACCGCCTATTATAAATTTCTGAATGCGATTGTTTAAACTATCGGCGACGTATAAGGCTCCCCGAACTTCATCTAAATGTATAAACCGAGGCCATTCTAACAAATTGCTACCAGAACCATAAGATCCTAACTTTCCACCAACAAGTGTACCAGTGCTGCTATTTGGTGGCCACTTCACGACCGTATTACAGGTAGCTGATGATGCGTAAACATTACCGGATCCATCAATTGCTACACCCCTAGTATCATATAATCCTGTCAGAGAACAGTTTGGGTTTGATCGACCTATTGGTGGGAAACTTGTGAGATTCATTCCTGCTCGTTGAATGTATATTATACCTTGACCGATGCCAGAGTCAGACATGTATATATTATGTGAACTGTCAACAAATATATCCTCAGGCGCACTAAGTCCGTC